AAGATACCCAAGAGAACATTAATGCTTTGAATAAGTGAAATAAGGCAAATGAGATGACTTGGTGCAATATTCAAGAGTTTATCTCGAATACGCTCCAAAGCTAACATTTACATTATTTTATTTTCTTTAAGCATCATGTTAAATGTCAATATGATGTTTTGGTGAGATTAGATAGACAGTATGCCAAAGTACTATATCAGACTTGAATAGCATCAAGATAGCCTAAGGAACTCCAGTATGAAATCGAATTTTGGAAAATGATTGTTTATTATTTAAAAATTAGCTGGAGATCAATAGGGCTGACTTGAGTGGTAAGTTTCAGGTTGACATGATTATTACCTTGTTACCAAACTCGTTCGATTCTGTTAGAGTGAACTAAATAAGGAATCAGTTTGAGTTCACACTCGCTGATATTCTTATAGAATTGGTAACAGATGAAGGGATAATCAAAAGTATAGGCGTTCCTATCAATCTAACCTAGTCTATACCATCTTCTTCTAGGCCCAAGTGGACGGGCAAAGCAAAGAAGAAGGATGATAATAGGACTAGGCTAGCACAAAACATGGGTATCCAAAAGGTTAAAGGGAATAAGGCAGTGTATGTTGAGGGCGAATGAAACTGTTTATTTTGCCATTAACTAAAACACTATAGGACGAACTGTCTAAGCAATGACGTGGCATAGGAAAATATATATTTAATCATTGAGCCATGTTATGTGGTTGCATCTATTAATTTCTGATGGATAGATTCTAAAGCCACTAAACATGTTTGCAATTCATCGTAAGGATTTCAGGAATCCAGAAGCCTTGATGATATGGATATATATTTATCTTTTGACCTGATGCTAAGGTTGTAGTTAGGTCAGTGGGAGTATTACATCTGAAATTAGAGATTATGAGGATATTAGTATTAGAAAACTATCTTTATGCACAGAAGTTAGACGCAATCTAATTTTTGTTTCACTTATGGTTTATAAAAACTGTGTTGTTATTTTGTAAAACTGGTTTTATAAAATTAAATAAATATGCTATTGCTTCTGGTGCATTGAAAGATGGTTAATATACTATAATCACAAACTCTTAAGATTTGTAGGATGTAAAAACTAATGCTGCATCTTCTAGATTGAATGTTAAGAGAAAAATTGTTATTCCTAACTCATTGTATTTTTAATGTCTATTTTTGGGTTGTTATCATCAAAATAAGATTCAAAGATTGGTCAAAGAAGGTTAATTACCTAGTGAGGCAGGGGAGCCTAAACCAAACTTGTGAACCCTGTTTTGAAGGATAGATAACTCTTAGGGCTTAATCAGCCAGATGAAATAGATATAAAGGACAATTGGAGTCGGTACACACTGACACGTGTGGTCTTATGAACATCCAAGCAAGATTACTCACGTTTTGGATAAGTTTATCTGATGCAACACAAGTTTTAAACTCTTGGTATATTCTGAGAAGGTCAAGACTGACGTGGAGCACATATTAGGTATACTTATCAAGACACTTCGATCTGATCGAGGATATGAGTATTTCTTCGGATAGTGCAAAGACTATATGGTCAATGAGGGTATTGTGTACCAGTTTTCCGCAATTGACGCTAAATGCATTTAGGTGTCAAATAGAAATAACAAAATTCCACTTAACATGGTTAGATCTATGATCAGTTATGTCACATTATCTCTTTCATTTAAGAGTTTAGATTTAATGATATCGATGCGTATTATGAACTGCATTCCATCTTAGTCTGTCTCAAGGATACCGTTGAGCTGTGTTTTTGACTAAATCCTAGTTTGAATCACATGCGCATATGGGGTAGTCTTACACATGTGCGCTTAATATGGACAAGTAAGTTGGAAACAGATCATACGCATAATAGATTTGATAGCTACTCTAAAATGTCACTAGGACGGATTATTTTATGATCTCAATGATAAAAGTTGATTGTTTACACTCACTGTTTATCTATAGGAGAATCATATTATGAATCACACACCTAGTAACATAATGTTAGAGAATATGGTATGAGTACCAGATGTACCACATGTGAACACACTTATTATAGAGATTGAGAATAATATATGAATTCTCTATTGATGCGTCAGCATCATCTAGTACACAGATTCCTGCATCGGTACATTAATGTAGTGGGAGGATTATTATCCAACCGACAGAATCATGTTTTTAGGTGAGACCATTATGGACATCCCTGTTAAACATGAGTTGGACCCAGTAAGCTACACGGAAGCGTGAACCGATATGGATACAGATCGTTTTGGCGAGTTACTATGAAATCAGAGTTGGAATCTATGTATTCTAATAAATTCTGGGATCTTGTAGAATTTTCTAGTAGGGTGATACCTATGGAAGGCAAGTTAATCTACAAAAAGATATCAGAAGATTTCTTAGTGAATAAATCATAAGTGTACAAGGGAATGTCATTATTTTTCTTAATTCTATATATTGATGACATCCTACTCATTTATAATGACGTGGAAGTTTTGTCATCAATAAAAAGGTAGTTGTTCAATTACTTTTAAATGAAAGATTTTCAAGATGTAAGCTATATTCATAGGATCGAGCTTTTGCAAGATCAGGTTAATAATCCTACATTGATAAAGTTTTGACCAGGTTTGGTATGCATAACTCAAAGAATGAGTTCTTGCTTTATTGATATGGATTGCTCTCTCTAGTAAGTAGTTTTTCAAAACTATCAAAGGAGATTGAGCAAATGAGACTGGAACAATATGCTTCGGCATATGAGAGTCTCATATATGCCATGGTCTATACCAAACAGGACATCCGCTACATAATAGGGATAGTCAGTAAAGATCAGTCCAATACTGGACTTGACAACTAGTCTGTTGTGAAAAATATCATTAAATACCTAAGGAGAACCAATGATATCATACTCATTTATGGATGTGATGATATGGTCCTAGTCAGGTATGCTAATTCTGATTTTTAATCAGAAGTAGATACTATGAGGTTCATGACTTAGTGTATGTTCACTTAATGAAAGGGAAATCAGTTGGTAGATTGTTAAGCAGATTTCAACTGCTGATTCAAACCTGCAGGTGGAATATATTGCAGCCTTAAAGGCGGCAAAGGAAGCCTATTGGTTTGATCTCACTGATTTAGAGGTTGTGGAGCATACTAGCCTACCTATCGAGCTATATTGCGACAATAGTGTAGAAGTAGTCCAAACCAATGACCCACGGTTCTATAAAGGAACAAGATACACTAAGAGGAAGTATCATGTTCAACATGATATTGTCCGGCAAAAAAATGTACTTGTAGCTAGAACATTGTATTGGAACACAACTTTGTTGATCCATTATCAAAGGTGTTATTGATCAATAATTTTGATCATCATCTGGATAACATTGGAATTAGGTGCAATTTGAATTGGCTATGAGGGCAAGTGGGAGCTGTTGGGATTTATATGCCCTGGCATAGCAAATTCCTGTTTGGATTAAAGTGACATATGTTCCTGACGTTTATGAAATATTTATGTTTTATACAATTGGTGAATTTAATGTATTATATTTCGATTCATTATAGAATTGATAATGTTCATTTGATTACAAGGGATATTTATATATATGTTTGTGATGGCAATCAATGCATGATATATAAATAGTAATCATAAATGGTTCATAGTCGGTAATTGTGGATGGACTCATAATTAATTAAGATTTGAACTGGATCCGCGTTAGGTTGAGATATATTGCGAGAGCCGTCGTATGCAATTGCTCCCTATCACCGTCATGGCATTTGACTCTTAAGTATGAGAAAATTATAGACTCTTTTATTAATTAATAATTACTTTGATTTGTTCGGCGGACTCTTCGGGATCCTTAGACTGACACTTTGGGTAGTTATGTAATTAATAGTTAGAAGGTTATATTTTTAATATTTGCATCATTGCTATTTGTATTTATTTTGTATTGATTATGGTTGATCACAAAGTAAATTCGAAGGCCTTCGTGTGTTTTTAGACAAAATGATTTATTATATATATTTATTTATTTAAATTATTATTTTTGTCAAAAAAATGTTTTATTGTGATCGAGCCAGAAATAATCAAAGGTACCAAAATAAATATATTAATTAAGTAGTCGGATTGATGGCTATATTTATCCGATAACTAATTATGCATAGAGGGGTCAAAGTGATGTTATTTATTATTTAATTGGAGTTCAATTAATTTCTTTTAGTGGAGTAGAAATTAATTTATGAATTAATTTAAATTGGGTCCATGGACCGGGCCAATCATTAATTCATTGTAGCTAATAAAATAATAGGCCCAATGGATTCTCACTCATAGCCCAACTTGATATTAGAATCATATTAGATTTGAGACATATGAATTAGAGATGGAGAAGGATTTGTTGTTTCCTTTTCTTTATTTTTATATTGCCTATAAATATACATGGTCTATGTATATTTTAGGGGGTGATTTTTATGAGAAGGAAAAAGGAATAAATTTTCTCTCTCTAGAAAATTAGGGTTTATGTTCTCATCTAATGGAGGCTCCCACAAGCCTAGTTTTTCAAGGTAATTCGTGGAGGTTTATGAGTGATTTCTAAAGGCAAAATAATTACCAAGAAGATGGAGATCTAAGGAGAAGGCATCTTGCTAAAGGATTTACAATAAGTGAGAACATTCACTTTAGAGGAAAGTTTTAAAGGTTTTACTCAGACCTTTGATGTAAGTATTCAATCAATTAATTGAATGATACATCATATTTTTATTTTTGTATAAAACTTGTCTCTATGTGATGAATCAAGATCTATGAATCTAAATCCCTCGAAAAATTTTTAAAACTTGCACGTTTTCCAACAAGTATAGTATAGAAATTTAACTCTGATAATACAAAATGTTCTTTTAATTGTTGTAGTATATCTCGGCACCTATCTTGCTCGTAAAATTCACTGTCATTTTCTTTTAATGATTTCCTTACCATATTTTAATACAATTCATCTTCTACACAGTTGATTAGAATGGAATTCTCAACAAGAAGTTGTGAACAGTATGAGCTTCCTGAGTGGCTGCTGCTAGAAGTTCTTTTAAGACTTCCGGTGAAATCGATCTTGAGATTCAAATGTGTGTGCAAGGACTGGCTCTCTCTCATTTCTGATCCTTCTTTTATTCGCTCCTATAATTCTCAAAGAATGAGTGACCCATCTCCATCCTTCGGAATCATTTATAGGTACATATATGCGTCGGAGTTTCAAAAAGTGCTCAATCGTCTGTGTCCTCCTGATGTGTACAAATCAAAAAAATTATCTTTTTCGTGTCTTTATTCTTCTCGAGAAGAAACTGAAGCTAAACTCTTTAAGGTCTTAGCTGCAAGCAACGGGTTGGTTTTGTGCTGTTCTTTGGATTCACAGACTCACTATGTGGGTGATCTGGTCACAGGGCATTGGGTTACTCTGCCCGGAGCAAACAGCGATTATATGAGCGCAGGGATTGTTAACCAAGTGAATGAGGAAAATGTGGTTACAAGTTACACGGTGGTGTGTATTAAACAGCAGCAATATTGGTCTGAATTGTTCAAATTGGCAATCTTTCTTCAAACACTGGTGAATGGACGTTGATAGAAAGGTCTCTCACTGAGCCTGTTCGATTAGTGCTCAATCGTGGCACTGTCGGTGCCCCTTGATTTTTAATGGGATAATGCATTGGTTTACTTATGAAGATGGAATGGTGGCGTTTGACCCTTATGCTAAGCATTGCCGACTGATGAAGCTTCCCGAGAATATCAACATTGACAATGCATACAAACATGGTGGACTTTACAATCTATGCGAGGTGTGCCAAGGACGGTTGAGATATTTTGAGGTAGCTCCTCCCGACACAGGCCTGAATTATCATCTCACTTTCTTCAAAATATGGATATTGAAAGACTATGATCGATAAAGAGGAATGGTGTTTAGAGCATCAAGTCAGGCGGGGAGACATTTGGTCAGATGATCCTAACCTAAATGCCTCCTTGTTACTTGCCAATTTTATTCCATTAGCTTTCCACCCATGTAACTTGGATATAGTCTACCTAGGATGCATGAAGCCTCCTTGCATTGTATCTTATAGTATCCAAAATAAGTGTTTGGAAGTTTTTTCTCGTCACCTTTGCAGTAAAACCATATGTTGGAGCTCCATGATGCCGTCTCTATTCCCAATCTGGCCAGCAGTACCATCTGGGCTTCGAAAGGCCAACATCGATCCGGTACTAGATCCTCATTGAAGAGACTATTAAGGCTTCTGAAAAGAAACGCTAGCTTCTTCGTTGCTACTGTTTTTTTTATGAAGCATTTGTTTAATTAGTTAACAACGTACATTTTACTTGTACAGTAAATTTTAGATTCTGATGATGACAAAGATGGTGCTGTATAAGTGCATGTTACTGTCTATGATTCTCACCATTAAGCTAAAATTTTTGGTATCTAGAATTTAATAAATGTGGCATTCTAATTATTCTTGGTTTGTGCACAAGAATTTACCTCTTTCCTCTTTTCTTTATAAGATTCAGGAGCAATGATACTGTATATATTAACTAACAAGTACCTTAGAGTACTTAATATTGCTGTCACTCGTGTTGTTATGACAGTAGTTATTTCTTTCTGTAATTTTTTTTTTATTACATCTGAAATTTTATCAAAATAAAGGATCTTTTTGCCAATGTTTTCTCCATTACATACCAGCAAATTTCCATAATTTATGCTATATCTATAATGTGAAATGCCAAAAATATGAATGAGCTGAAATTAGCCCTTTGATCTCAGAATCATTTCATTTTTAATAATTAAATTTCAAGAAAGTTATAGGTATGATGTTGGTTTAGATTATGAATGATGAATGAGGTAAAAATTGAGAGTAACATCAAGAGTTGTAACTATTAAAGTAATTAAAAGTGTATATTAAAAAAATAAAATAAAAAATATGTATTAAATAAAATTTCTATATACTTTTAATCTAAGTCACAAAGAGCGACTGCGGGAGCGAGAGCGCGAAAGCGTTTTATGAAAGCGAGAGCGTCTTGAAAGCGTCTGTATATTATGTTTAAATAAAATTATATTAGGTCATGACATATATATTTTATATTTTTTTATTTATTTAAATCCATATGCAAATATATTTATTATTATTTATTTCATTAATGATATATGTAATAAATATGTTAACTTTTCTCACTAAATAGATGCGTGATTTATTTGTAATATTCTCCAATTGGGAAGTTTTTTAGTGATATATTTTTAAACATGTATAATTAATATATATATATATATATATATATATATATATATAGTATAGCAATGCCATACAGTTAGGGCACACGTGGAGTTTAAGTAATTAATGTATATATTGAGTAACAATGTAAGTAATAAATGCATATATGGTAATAAAGGTGTTCCATGGTGATAAAGGTGTTCCATGTCACTGGAACTCTAACAAATTTAGCAATATAAAATGAATGGGATAATTTTACTGATATCTTATGAGGTTTGGCCAAATATCACCCTCAAATATATTTCGAAACCCTCAAATATATTTCGAAAATAACTATCACTCATATTATAAACGTTTATTCTGTTTTTCACTTACACCCCAAAAGTTAATTGACAGGTGTGTCAGACCACTTTTTACATGTAAAAAGACATTCTTACTCTTTGACTTTGGTTTAATCCACTAAATTGTTTCTTTAATGATTCAAATGATATGTTTACTCTAATTTGACTTTACTTTGACTAACTAACTTATTTCTTTAAAGGATTAAACTATCCTGAATGATTCGTAAATTTACAATTAAATTTTCTTTAAATATATATATGTATATTATATATATATATATGGGGGTAGGTGGGGGTAATAATCTGTAGAGAAGAGAGAGAGACAAAAAAGCCTTAATATATATATAAAGGGGCACTCTGAAACTAGGGTTTCATGTCTTGTTAATCTGTGACTCGTAAATGTAGAAAAGAGAGAGACACAGTGGTTTTGTTAATTTGGGTTGTAGAGTTGTGCCTGTAGAGAAGAGAGAGAGGTTGTATCTATAGAGAAGAGAGAGACAGAGACAAAAGTGTGATAGTAAGTAAGAGTTTTAATTAGGGGTGAATAAATATGATTAAAAAATTTAGGAGTAAAGATGTATTTTCTTTTGTTTTTAAGGGAGACAGTGACGGAAAAGCTAAAATGGATTTAAGTGATGGTTATTTTTGAAAGATGTTTGAGATTGATATTTGGTCAAACTTAAAGGGGGTGTCAGTAAAATTAACACAAAATAAATTGGTATAAAAATTATGAATTAGGAAAAAAAATTCGTGAATTGTAAAAATTAAATTCGTGAATTTTGTACAAATACACTCTCAAATCACAAATTTGCGTGTAGAGTTTGAGAACGGACCTCTTTGACCTAATTGTGTGACTAAGCTTTTAATAGCAAGTTATTCGTTAATACTTAGACAAATTAACTAAGACATTTTGAATGTTTAACAAAATTTGCATTTGTAGTAAAATTAAAATATTAATTTTTTTTTTAATACTTTAATATTTACAGTAGATATCTAATCACGTGCCTGACACGTGGTTTTTACTAGTATATAATAAATATATATACACAGAGAGAGAATCTAACAAATAATCAGGTCAAGTTGGTCGGTTGCGGACAGGAAGTAGCATCCCCATTTGACGTGAGTTGGGGGTTAAACTGAACCTGCGTTCAACTGCCCAGACATGGATAGCAGCATCAGAAGAACCAATCCAGATGATGATGATGATGATGATTTCGATGTGGGTTTTGGTCATCTTCATCAAATTACCAATCTCAACACCAACGGAAAGAGAAGACATCCTCAGACACAGGTAAGCACAATCGAACCCATCACTCCTCAATCTGAACAACCACCAGATCGCGATGCTGAAAACTCTCTTAATGACTTCACTTACTTTCAAGAATGGCTATTGTTAGAAATTCTTGTAAGATTGCCTGTAAAATCAATCTTTAGGTTCAAATGTGTATGCAAACACTGGCTCTCTATCATTTCCGATCCTTCTTTTGCTCGCTCCTATGTTATCAATCGATCGTCTCAGTGCTTCAGAATCCTTTATCGGTACATTTATGTTTCGGGTTTTCAAGAAATTCTATGCCGTCTTCGTCCTGATGTGTACATGTCCCAGAAATCATCTCTTCTGTTTCTATCTTCTTTTGAAGAACAACAACAATTGGATCAGTATAAGGTCTTAGCAATGAGTAATGGGTTGTTTTTGTATTGTTTGTTGGGGCCTTTGATCTACTATGTGTGCGATCCGGTTACCGGACAGTGGGTTAGCCTGCCTAGACCTGGAAAAAATATCCATTTCCGCCCTGCATATACTGGGGAAGGGCTTGTTAGCCGAGTGAATGATGAAAATGTGGTAACGAGCTACAAGGTGGTGCGTGTCGAATGGATTCCTGAGGAGTCTAATGTGCTCAATTTGGAGGCCTTCTCTTCCGACACAGGTGAATGGAGGGAGGTTAAGCTGTTTGTGGCTCATGGTGTTCGATTGCTCAAACGTGGCGTTGGCCCTATTCTCTTTAATGGGATACTGCATTGGTTTACTTATGAACACGGAATGGTGGCCTTCGACCCTTACAAGAATGCTAGGGAGGGCCATCTCATAAACTTGCCCGAGGGCAGGGACACTGCAAGTGTTTACAAATATGATGGAATTTTCCGGATGTGCGATGAGTGCCAGGGACACCTGAGATATTTTGAGACAGCTCCTGATATAGAGAACCATTTTTGCTTCAGCATGTGGGAACTCAAAGACTATGATAAAGGGGAATGGTATTTGGAGCATCAAGCCACACTTCGAGACATTTGGTCGGATGATCCTAACTTAAATGGAAATTTGTTAAGGGTGACTTTTGTTCCGTTAGCTTTCCATCCATTTAAATTGGATGTGGTGTATCTAAGATGCGTAGAGCTTTGTTGCATCGTGTCTTATAGCATGCGAACAAAAAAGATGGACGTTACATTCCTTCCCATTAGCAGTGCACACAACCTTTCTTGGCGCGTGCTGATTCCATTTGTGCTTCCAATGTGGCCGACACCAGTTCCTCCTCTCTCTCGGAAGGCCATTAAGAGTTTCTAAATTATTCATGTGTTTCTTTTTATGGTCTTTAACAAACTGCACTGCTTGCACTTTCTTTTTCCCCCCTTTTCCCTATAAGTAGCAAACCGTTGTTATCATCTGCCTTTTTACTATAATGCAGTTCTTTATCCCAAACGTTTTACTGCCTTTTCTTTTTGCAATTCTGTAATCTTTCGTTAGATAATATTAAGGTCTCTAATAATTTTGCAATAATTTAGATATATACAGTCAAATTAAGATGATATGCATTCAATTTTATTTCTACATATTAGTTTTCTTTGTAACAATCATTATTTTATCTTGGCTATGTTTGATACAAGGTCTTCGATGTGACTGTAAAAATGGATAAAGAATAGAAGTAGGGGGGTATGATCATTGATTTGGGAACAACAGGAAGGAGATTCTATGTTTTATTAGTTGCTTTTACCAGATGAAGTTTTTGTGGAATATCTTATGCTATAATTGCATCACAATTTAGACTTAAATGATTCTCTTTCAGCTTCTTGATTTGATATTTATTGATTGAAAATGCTTCTTGCTGTCCAGTGGTATGCATTAATTGGCGTTTTGGTAAGTTAATTATTCTTCCTTTTTTATTTATTTATTTTTATTGACTTTGCTTTGCATACTTTCTGTGCTGCCATTATATTAGTTTATTTAACAAGCATGAGCTTCGCTGATTATATAGGACAGTAAATTTTCCAACATGTATCTGTTAAAGGGAATAAAACTCTAGTCTGGCCATGAATGATGAAACATGAGTTTAAGGCATTGCTATTGATAAGTAGCATCTATCTGTTGGGAACACTCCGTGCCTAATCATTGCCAGTAATCAATGGGGTGTTAAGAGGGGAATGTGCTATGTCTAAAATTTGGAACTTGGCCATACCTTTTTCTTCCTTGGGATATTTGACTGATAATCACTGGATCTCAGAGTAGGTTTGTGAGATAATGAACATGCTGCTAATATATTATGAGTCTCAATCTAATTGGTAGAAGAATGCATAGATTCCATCAGTCCCTAACATGGTGAATTCTTCGAGTGGTTAGTGATGACTGATGACGGGTAAATGTTTGATCATCTGACAGTAGAAAAGAAACCACAAAATTGATAGCCCTTTTTCTTCATTGCAGGGCATATCATCTGGCTGGTTGGTAATGAGATACCTGCATACCCAAAAGGGAGCACTGGTTAAAAAACAACCATTTGATTTGATTTTGTTTGTTGCTCTTCCTTAGCAGTGGGAAGCGAGTGATTAACAAAATCATCGAAACCTAGTGGGAAGCTTGCTATATTTGACTCTAACTAGACCTTACATTGCTTATACCGAATTTCCAGCCTTGTCTTCGGGTGTGCTTCATCTCAGACTGAAGTCAAGTACTTCTGAGTTGTTCTTTGCCAAAAACCCTCCTTTCGACCTAGAAATACCGACTATAAATAGCTTTAGTGTGGGAGTTCATGTTTTTTTTTTCCCTTCATATTTTCCATCTTATAGGTCCATTATGCTTAATAAGGGGTTGTTGTCTGTCGGATTTGCATATGGGATGGCAGTTTTCCATCTGTAACAAGATTAGAGCTATTTCGTGAAGGGTGTGTGTGATATGATTTGGTGTATTTGGAAGGCTTGGTATAGGCTTTAGTTCTTACTCATAAAGTAGAAAGCTTTTTATGTTTTTTTGCTTAGGAACAACACTCAACTACCAATCAAGAGAGTGTCTAATGTTGCTTAGTAGCTGTTGTTTGAAATCCTTTATAAAACTTGCTGTTGGAGCAATGACTTTCTTATTTCTCGTCTTGCTTTCACCCACTTCTATATCTGTTGCATTAATAACTCATCATCATCACCAGCATGGACACTCAATTGTTGAGTTACACATATGTAGAGGGCTTCGTGGAAAAACCTACTGTCGAGTCTCACTAGATCACCGAAGCGTGCAAAGAAAACTTGCAAATTTCTGTTACCAATGATCACATTATTTAATCCTGCCATTTGAGTTTGCTGGTACTCAAAAATTGCGGTAAGGAGTGAATTTTGGATCATACTAGGGATTGATATCTGGTCGGATAATGTTTAATTTTCCAAGCTATTCATCATTTAGCAGTTGAATTCCAATTGCTTTACAGTTTTACATCAATTTGATTAGGGTAATATAGTGTACTTTTGGCGCCACAAGCTAGAAAACTTGTCTCACAACTTTCAAAGAGAAAAAGGTTTACCGGAGGGAAAAAAAAAAAATACAAGATGTACCCGATAGTGTTTCTCTAATCCAGTAAAAGGGTTCTCATCCGGTGAATTTTAAACTAAATTTATTTTAATTCTAAATTCAAAGCACTAATTTGATACTATCAAAGATAACATCAATTTAATACCTAAAAGGGAATCAAATTGCATACTGACCATATAATATGAGAGTTTAATGTATCAAGCTGGCCTATTGTTATCTTCCAAAGGTCATGAGGTTAGACTTGTTTACATCTATTAATAAATAATAATAATAATAAATTCTAAGCAGTGAAGACAAATGATTCAAGCAATAGTTCTATCATGTCACACCAATAATAAGTTCCATTTCTCAAAAGTAAAATCAGGCAATGTTCTTAAAAATATCATGTTAATATGCTTTTAGTGAATTTCAAAACAAAAATTATTTCCTGACAAGTCATTCAGACCTCATATTCTATACTGCAATGATGAATAGAAGACAAGTTTCTGGGTTGTAATAATTTAATTTTCTCTTCTTTTGATGTACAGTAAGAGTTAATAAAAAGACAAATGGTTTCATATTAAGAGGTTAATATTATTTTTAAATTTATTTATTTATTTTTGCTGTTTTTCGTTGTTTTCTTTGGCAACTACTTTTTGATATTTTCTCTATTATCCCAACAGAGTGTGTAAAGATTCCAAGTTTCCTTCTAGGCTTATTGGAAGAACAAACTGTTCTAAAAATTTGAAATGAGAAAGACAAGTAGAGGATAAGAATAAGAGAAAGAGGAAACTGAAACCAGTGGAAATCAAATGAATTCAATTACGAATTCATCAGTCGTTGTAGCCCAATGATGAATCACGCTCTTGTCCGCCAAATGCTGCTACCTAATCCTTTCTGCAACCACCAACCTTCTTCACTCCCTCCCAAAACCCTCCCAAACCCTTCGCTCCCAATTTTCTTCTTCTACCCATCACCACTCTCCCAAAACCCTAATAAACCATCCAAACCCCTCCTCCACCGAACCTCCGCCTCAGCCACCCAAGCCAACTCCCAAACCCTGCCCAAATCCGCCATCCAAAGAATCGCCGACAAGCTTCGCAGCCTTGGCTACGTGGACGACGACAACAAAGATGGCCCGAAGAAAACCCTAAATTCCAATACCAACCGTACATCGTCCCCCGGTGAGATATTCATTCCTCTGCCTGATCAGTTACCCAAGCACCGGGTCGGGCACACAATTGATTCGAGCTGGAGTACGCCCGAGAACCCGGTGCCAGAGCCCGGGTCGGGGAGTGCCATACAGAGGTTTCATGAGTTGAGGCGAGAGGTTTGGAAGGAGAAGGTGAAGAGGAAGGGAGAGGAGAGAGAGAGAAAGAATGTGCCGACGTTGGCGGAGTTGACGGTGCCGGAGGAGGAGCTGAGGAGGCTGAGGACAATTGGGATTGGATTAAAGAAGAAGTTGAAGGTGGGGAAGGCGGGGATTACGGAGGGAATTGTTAACGGGATTCATGAGAGATGGAGGCGGACAGAGCTTGTGAAGATCGCTTGTGAGGATTTGTGTAGGATGAACATGAAGAGGACTCATGAATTATTGGAGGTTAGAGTCACTTAATCTGAAATGCAATTCATAGTTAAGTAATAACAATTGTGATTATTATTTTTTGTGTAAACTTGGTTGAAACTTGGAAATCTTGAATCAAAGTGATAAATCTCTTGGAATTTTCGTCTGTTACTTTGATTAACAAGTTTGTTATGCTACCATAATGTAGTGGCTGCTAAGCATTAACAAGTAACGAACAAATAAATTATAATAATCACTAGAACCAGAAAAGTTACATTGTTACTCAGAATTCAGCGGTCTAGTTGAAGAACATTGAGCATCAATATAATGGGCAGATAAAATGGGATTTACATGGGTACTTTTTTGAACTCCTGGAACCTGCAAATATTCTCTTTTGGATTCATTCTGAAGTTTTGGTATCTTGATAAAATATTGTTGTCCACTTTTAATTATACATCTTATACTCCCTGAGACATGTTTTGCCAAAAATCTTTCAAGGTATATATGTGATATCACAAATCAAGTCATTATTTGATGAGGAATGACTTGTTTCCATGTGGAAAACCAAAAATGAAACAGATTCACAAGTCTTAGGATGACAAGTAGTAGCATCTTTCACATTTGTTTTTATTTTTTTAAAATAATTAGCCATTTTATAGCCAAATCAGATTTCATGACAAATTCCAAAGACTTGTTTGGACCATTAATAAAGTTGAAATAAAGTGTAGGCCTTTAACAGCCGTCATTATTTATTTATATATCTTTATGGGTCACCTTATATAGGATGGCAGTTGAGATTGTTGTTACGGTGATTTAAAAAGATTTTATCTGCATGCAGATGCTGATTGAAAGTGAATGGATTTGGTTGACATAGATCGTTGTTGTTCAGCATGAAATTGATGAAGTATCGGAGTTTTGCCTTTTAATTGCCTTTTTATATTCGTTTAACTTGAAATTGTTTCTGACATTCTCAGAGGAAAACTGGTGGGTTGGTTATTTGGAGGTCTGGAAGTAATATAATATTGTACAGGGGTGCTAATTATAAGTATCCGTACTTCTTTTCTGATAACAATTCAGAAAATGACACTTCTGCCACTACTTCATCTGATTCACGTGTGGATTGTGGAGTACACGTTAGAATGGAAAGCTACTCATCTGGTACAGATGGTGTAAACTCTGCTGGACCAAATTCATCCAGCAACAAAGCTCAACCACCCCTAATACAAGGTGTTGGTTCCCCAAATAGAGTACGATTTCAACTCCCTGGTGAGGCACAACTCGCAGAAGAAGCTGACCGTCTGTTAGACGGACTTGGTCCACGATTTACTGATTGGTGGGGATATGATCCTCTGCCTATTGATGCTGATCTTCTACCAGCAGCTTTTCCTGGATACAGGAGGCCCTTCCGTCTCCTTCCATTTGGGGTGAAACCTAAACTAACAAATGATGAGATGACAACACTGAAGAGACTCGGTCGGCCTCTTCCGTGCCATTTTGTGTTAGGTGAGTACCGTGAGTGAACTAAAATTTCACAGCTGTTATCATTCTGCTTAACATTCGTTTCACTTACTTTTATGTCATTATCAGGAAGAAACAGAAGACTTCAAGGATTGGCTGCTAAAATAGTCAAGCTCTGGGAGAAATGTGAGATTGCAAAAATTGCAGTTAAGAGAGGAGTCCAGAATACTAACAGTGAATTGATGGCTGAAGAGTTAAAGGTTTTAAATTATATGGAAATTCCTTCTTATTTTCTATCATTATAAATTGCTGACATTTTAAAATTATGTATTATCTGATTTTTTTAAGTATATGTCAGTTTTTAAGCATGATTTTAAATATTGGTTGTTATCATTATTTCATAGTGCTATTATTACATAACGGTATCGTCAAGAGGAAAATCTGTTACGGGCCAATGCACAGGTCCTATAGACCAATAGAATGAAGAGGAGAGGAAATAATTTACATGGAAATTGTAAGAGAGACAAGTCTTACAGATGCAATTGATTGATTTCTAAGTGAGCTTTGAGGATTACTTCCACAAACTGTTGCAGAGGCTGGTACAACCTCTATAAGAGAAGAGAAAACTTCATTGGGAAAACCTTTTTGTTATGACTCATTTTCTTTACAGTTTCTTAATTAACATGTATTTATTTGAATGGACCATTGCAGCGGCTGACTGGAGGCACCCTGCTCTCACGGGACAAGGAATATATTATATTTTACAGGGGAAAGGATTTCCTGCCAGCTGCAGCTTCTTTAGCAATAGAAGAGCGGAGAAAATATGGAATTCATGGGGAGAAACAGGTTACAGATGACAGTACATTAGTTATGGCTATGCAGGACCATAAATTTGAGACTGTGCAAGGTGGTTCTGAAGATGAATGTAATGGGATAAATGACCAGAAACAAAATCATGTCTCTGAAAGAAGGAAGCCAAGGTCCATTGAAGCAGCTATTGAAAGAACTAGCACCAAGTTGCAAACAGTAAGTATTCATATAGATGCTAATGCTGACTTCCTGTTCAAGTCTCATTTCATGCTTGCTAATGGCATATTTCTCCTGACAGGCACTAGCAAAGAAAGACAGTGCAGAGAAACTTTTAGCAGAGCTGGAGAAGGAAATGATCCCCCAAGAACCTGAAATAGATAAAGAGGGTATCACTAAAGAAGAAAGATATATGCTGAGGAAGGTTGGCTTGAGAATGAAGCCTTTCTTACTATTGGGTGAGTTTGCTGTCTAGTGCGGTATCAGTAAATCCAACAGCTGTTTCACAAATTTTCTTCCTTTCTGAAAAGAAATTGAAAAGCATTATGGAAGCTATCAGAACATTTCATTCTGGCTTCTGCAGAAGTGGTCCCTGATAAGTATTTTTCTCTTCCATGCACAGGTAGACGAGGGGTTTTTGATGGAACAATCGAAAACATGCATCTTCACTGGAAGTATCGGGAACTTGTGAAGATAATATTTGGTGGGAGAAGCACCGAAGAGGTTTATGAAATTGCACGGACATTAGAAGCAGAAAGTGGTGGAATATTAGTGGCAGTAGAGAGAGTCAGTAAGGGTTATGCAATCATAATGTATCGTGGGAAAAACTATGAACGACCCACTTGTTTGAGGCCTCGGACACTCCTAAGTAAAAGGGAAGCAATGAAACGCTCTAAAGAAGCACAACGTCGTGAGGTAAGATTGGTTCTGTGGGTGTGTTGTTGGGTGGGTATATCATACTAAGAAGTTCGTAACTCCAATCTAGTTGTATGTCCACTAAAAAAGGGAGCATGTTTAAAAGGAAAACCATATTAAGTGGGTAATTGGGGTTGTCTGGCTAGGTTCATTGTTTGCTTGGAAGGTCTGTAGTGGTGGTGTCCATCAACTTGAAGGACTCAGTTGTCTTTCCCTTTAAATCACGAGGCTCTCGTTTTTTGTACAGAATTCTTTACTTCATACTTTCTTATTATACCTTTTTCTAGTTCTGTTAAGATGTTGACCCAAAATGTTATCTACTTATTTGTCTGATTCATTATAGTTTGTATATCATGCAGTCCTTGAAACTTCATGTTTTGAAGCTTGGCAGAAATATAGATGTGTTGAAGCTACAGTTGGTGGGTATTATGCATCCATTCTACCTATATCCAGTTAGTTTGCAATTATTTTCAACATAAATTACAGAGTTTTGTCTTGACCCAGGCCAAGGACAAGGAGACGAACAGTGTGCAGTCAGCAAAAGGATCAGAACTTCAGCTGGTGAGTGATCTCTTTCTCTCTCTAATTTCATACAAACCTCACCCAAGTGATATAATATGGGCTAAGTTTGATTAGTAATTATCCAGGTCAAAGAGCAGAAAACAAACGGAATGCAGCTTACCGAAAACAAGAGATCTGATACTGAACTTGAAACTAATTACCACTCTTCTATAGTATCTCCTGCTTGCAATCTAGAAAATGTAGAGGTAAGGAGCATACCATTTGGATGCAATTCTATGTCAGTGATATCCATCGTTTCGAAGCACTTGCGTCTCCCGTTAGCTATCAATAGGCCAGATACTATTTTTTTGTAAGGCAATAGGCCAGATCCTATTCAACTGTCATGATAGTCTTAGGCCTTGATTTTTGGCAGTGTTACTATAATTTAGGCTTAAGCTGTGTGAAATCATTGAGGCTACGCCTCATTCAGATGAGGCACATTTCAACGTCTGCTGAAATTTCACTACTGACTCGAGCATTTTGTTTATACCATTATATCTGTAGGCTAGAGAAAGATATGGAGTTGATTCAACTTTCTTTAATTCAAATGATGGCATGGTATCTTCAAGTGATACTCTCGAAATCACACAGCGGGATATCCTGGCAGATTCCTCTTTAAAATACAAGGAAAAGGAAGTGGGCAAGTTTGATTTAACTGAAGCAGAAGTAGTTTTTAAAGAAATTAATGTTGTCATGGATATGAACGGTGAAGGTGGAGATGTTGAGCCTGCAAATGGTCCCGATAATATTAGGGTAAGATTTAATGACTACTTTTTGTTGATTTCATTTTTCTTATTTTACTTGGATAGTTCTGAAGCTGGTTACCGGTATATTCTATTTTATCACAAGGTCAGACAAGCTTTTCGCATACTGTCAATGCTGAGCCACATTTCACTGAGAATAAGACCATTGCTCCATCTGATGAATCACAGAAAAGTGATTCATCATTATTAGTTCAAAGAGCTGTAGAAATTGGGTCTAATGGGACACCTCTTAGAGCTGCACGGCTTTCCAATAAAGACAGGCTTCTTCTGCGAAAGCAAGCCCTCAAGATGAAAAAGCGTCCTGTGCTTGCCATAGGTAATATCCATGCACCTCTATTAGTTCTGGATACTTGCTTATTGTTTTTTTTTTTTGGTGGTTGCTTTGACCATTGCTACATGTAGTGGGATAGCTTGAGGTTATGCTCCTTACTGAAAAAGGCTTCGCAAAATTATATTGGAATTGCTGGATTTCCTTTGCAAAATTACCTAAAATTTGTGGAGGTCCACCTATAACTTTTTGGCCTAATGCAATCTGCTAATCCGTATTTAAAACAAAAGAATTTGATAGGCAAGTGACATGTATACATACCATCATTTTTGTCTGATTGGGGACTTGAATCCTCAACCTTCCATGTAGCAGGATGAGGTGATACCACTTGGGCTAAGCCCTTGGTGATGATTTTCAATTTTTTCTCGCCTATTTTAATCTGTCTTTTGGTAACTTAACAAAGTATGAATAGCAAATGAGGAGAACTTATCACAGTGGGCATTTCTGCTATTGCCATCATTTCATAGGGAAGAGCAACGTTGTTACTGGAGTGGCAAAAACAATCAAGGCGCACTTTCAGAAGCATCCTCTGGCCATAGTGAATATCAAAGGAAGAGCCAAAGGGACTTCAGTCCAGGAGGTTGTTTCTAAGCTGGAGGTCTGTTTATGGGAATGTCTCTTTTCTTGTGCTTTCATTTAGCTCTGGACAGATTGTCTGAAAGCTCTTCTTTTTCTTCTGTTTTCCTCACAGCAAGCCACAGGCGCAGTTCTAGTTTCTCGGGAACCCAGTAAAATCATACTTTACAGGGGTTGGGGAGCCGTGGAAGAACCTGGCCAATCCGTCCAAAAGAATACAAGAGACGTGAGGAACACTTCAGCAGGCAGAGAGGGTGGGGCTCAGCCGGTTATTTCTCCTGAGCTCTTGTCAGCCATCAGACTTGAGTGTGGGTTGCAGTGTAACCAATAGGGACAGGAAGCATCCTAGAATGAATTTGGAGTTTGTTTCAAATGTTACTTTTGCATTGTTTACGGCACCAGTTTTCTCGTTCCTGCTTTGAAATATTTGGAGCCCATTGACAAAGGTCACTATTCTTTTATAGAGTGCAAGTATTATGACTTAGAATCATACGATGAAACCATTCATCTAATGCACAAATTGTTTGCAGGGTCTGATGTCATTATAGTGCACCACATGTTCAGTTAAAGTGCCAAGGCTCATGTTTAGATGTTGAGTTACATTTGGAGTGATATCTTATTGGCCCAGCTCCCTGGCTACTTCAAGGCTTAACTGAAGGTCAAAATCGGGCAAATGGTACATTTTTCTGGAAGGTCAGCCTGCTTTCTAAACTTCTCTTGGTCTTGAATGGTTGCAATTCTTGTGGTAAGTGTTGATTCTAGAATAATTGATGATTACAAGTAGATTGGGATAATGCTCCTGGAGAAATTTTACAGTAAAAATGTAACTATCTGTAGAATTGGTGACGAGTTGAATTCAGGTAGATCGAGTTCTGATTGTTCTAGAACCATTCACACTGGAAATTTCAACTATTACTATTTGAAGATGCTGATTCTTTAATGAAAGGATAATTATTTTCAGGCTCAAGTCTTCAACCGAAGACTTTTTGCTTGGCCCAGGCCTATCAAAACTCAGATTGAAATGTGGTGAAGTTATTTGTAACATGATGTGATTTCGATGGGTCAACTGGATTCCTCACACGCACCGTGATTATCGCCACCTCTTGCAGCTGGCCATGTTTATCATATCCTCCCTGATTTTCCATACTATCATACAAAAAAACCAGCTTCTTTTCTCTGTACGTCATGGAGAAATTCTTTGCAGCAATACCCTGGACACTAAAGTCGTCATGTAATGCTTTTCACGAGTAAGTACTACATACAGTCTGAAAGTAAAAAAAATGCTTTTCACGAGTAAGTACTACATACAGTCTGAAAGTAAAAAAAAAAAAACGCGTTAGATCGTGGAATTGTTAGAGAAAGAACCTTTGGAACATCCTGGGAGGTGTGACTTTTGCTTGCACTGGATAGCCTTTGCGACGCTAGTGAGCAGTAAAAAGATGTGGAGGTGAGAAAGTTTGTTTCATCTATGTTGAAAACATACAGTAAAAAGATGTGGAGGTGAGAAAAACATGTTGAAAACATACGGTAATATGTTGAAAACATACAGTAAAAAGATGTGGAGGTGAGAAAGTTTGTTTCATCAATGTTGAAAACATACAATGTATGGGATTGCCTTTGGGCTCTGCTAGTGACAAGTAAAGGAATGGGGAGGTGGGAAAGTTGCTTGATACATTGAAAGCATGAGCTTTTAACTTTTTTCAGGATTTCACAATGATGATCTACTTTTGATAATCTTGTTGGTTAGGCTTCTTTGTTGGTTTTTTTGGTTTAGACTATATTGCATCTAAATGACGCCCAGAAAAGTTACTTGAGAGATTGTTTTACCAGTGGGACAGATATTCAGACCCCACTTCCAAATAAAGTCCAAAATTACCATGTCCCTCTCAGTAGAAAAGGCGAAAGAAGAGAGAGCAACATAGAATTGTGTTGGAAAAGATACAAGAAGACTACAGTTATTTTGGTCGGGAGATAATTGTCTGTTTCATGAACTTTTCAATAACATATCCTTTTTCACCATTACATTTTTCTCTTTTCGAATCTTGTCTCGTTGTCCCAATATTTGGAATGGAGATTGAGATCTAATTCTAAACGTCCATTCATCCCTTGATGTTAGTGTTTTGAGGGAAACTTAATCCACTTTACAGAAATTCAGCATTTGGTATTTATGACCTACTTGATTAAACCAATACTGTTCTTAATCTTTTTTCTTTTTATTTGAAAACTAAATTTCTGTTTATGGATTTTAGGAAAAAAAAAAAAAAAAAATCCACTATTATTTGAAAACTAAATTTCTGTTTATTATTATTTTTTTTGTCTTTCAAAAAAAAATAATTAAAATTTTAATTCTATTTAAAAATAAAGAAAATGACATGTTAAATTAACAGCCTCCATTACATTAAAAAAAAAACAAAGAGTCTAAATAGCGTTACTCTTTCAGGTAGGAGCAATGAAGCACACGCGATCACCCATATCCATATGATCCTCATTTACTGAATAATTTCAAGAAGAGTAATAATGCTAAACTCTCTAAGATTGGAAGAACATCATTTGACCCTTCAAAAAATAACCACAAATAGAGATTATCCTTGTAAGAAAATGTTGGGAAGTTCAAATTTGAACTCTCCGCACACTCACAATGATTGGGTCAATTCAATTTGAAGTAAAAACAAAGGATAGGTGCTGGACCAACATGCTTGGCCTAAGGTATCAGGCTCCTCTTTTTCAGAGGGAAGTCAGAAATTCAAATTTCAGTTAAGGCATGTGTGTATGAGAAACTAACTAAAAAAAAAAAAAAGAGTAGTTCTTCGTGAGTCATTTTAATTTAATCTTGTTCAAATCAAATCAAAAGACGGGACATAAATATAGAAATTGTTATGAGGCAATTTAATTTTATTTTCTACAAATAAGGTTAGCTGTTAGAGTTCAACTGGGACAAAATTGTGTGAGTTGTTTACCTAAAACATAAAGATACTCATAAATGCTTCTATGAAGTAATATAGTTGTATTTTTTATTTTTTATTTATTTTTATAATACATCAAAAGAACATAATCGAATCATGCCTAAGTATAAGATAGTATGTAATTAAATAAAATTCAAATAATACTATTTATGTTTTGTGCCAAAAGAAAGAAAGAAAAATGGTTACTTCATCTTGAGAGGACACAAAAATATGAGACTCCGCCTTTCAGATCTCAAGAATAAAACGTCTTTTTCATGAGAACGGAGGTGTAATGACAAACAAACAAACAAGGCACCCCTCGCCAATAAGGTCATTTTATTTACCCCATAAAAACAACAAGAAGGTCATTCGGGGGTGGACGCTCGTCTCTTCATATATATATATATATATGGACACTCGTCTTGTTGGGACTTACTATATAAATAGCATGGACAAGATATGTCAAATTTAAGCAAAGACATGAAAACGGTGCAAACTTGATTAATTTCAAAATTAGCGTTCGTTCTGAAAATTGTAACACACAAAATTATGTGAATATATCTTATGTTAGTATTTTTTCTTCATGTCATTACATGTGTAACGGTGAAGATTGATTTGTAATGAAAATTTAAAATGTATTGGCAAAGTGTATGTAATTGAAGATGTAAGAAAAATACTCTCTCAATTTGAAAAGAATAATTCTCCACATGGAATATTTTTCAACCCTTTTTTCTTTTTCTTTTCAATCTATTTATAAACTGTTTCAAATATTTTAGAAACTTCCTAACTAACTTCTTATGTTGGACTGACTTTCTGGGCTCATCTTGGTTATGGGCCCAATTCCTTTTATCTTAAATGGGATTCCAAATTGATTCGGATCGGTTGCTTTTGCCTGACCCGTTCCTAACAATCTGGGTCGTACCCGTTCAGACCATTTTTTATATTCTGTAATATATCAAGTAAAGTGTTCTTAATGCGTCTCACATGTATATGAAGAAGTAGTGACACTCGCACTTATATGATGCCTTACTACTCTAATAAAATTTAATTTTAAATTATGAACTAAATGAAATGTAGACATGTATTGGGAGTGTAAGTATAGGTTTTTTTTTTTTTTTTTTTTTTTTTTTTTTTTTTTTGTCATTATGTAAGTATAGTGTATCCACACATAAAACATCTTGGCAAAAATGTCCATGCCTCTTAACTTACTATTATTACTAATACGCGCTACACGGAGGGTGGAGTTTATGTTATCATGCTTGTGTATATGTATATAAATATATCCCTTAGTTTTCATGAAAGATAATAATGACACACACTTTCTCTCTCTCTCATCATGACTCATGAGTACTCTGTAGGTAACTCCTGTGAGGAGTAAGAAAGAGACTGGCACAAAAAACATGGAGCTTTCATCTTTATTTCATTCTTCTTTCAACGAAGCCAGAAAAACAATCATCATGTCTTCTTCTCTCTGCCCACCACCTTACCTTCTCCAGAGCCATCATCATTATGCCCACGACCATAACCTACTTCTTAAAGTACCATCATCATTATCATCACCATCACCAACACCAGCACCAACACCATAGATGGACCTACTTTTGCTGATGATGATGATCATGATCAAGAACAAGTCACTCATGATCAACGTTTTCAAGCACTGAGGGGTACGGTCTTCTTTGGATTATTGACTTCAGAGTCTGTCACTTGTTTGGGGAATCAAGCATCGTGGTCCGATCATTTGCTACATCAAGCAAATTAATTAAGGTCTATATATATATATGTTCTATAATTTTTAATCTTATTCTGCCTATATATGTAGGTGGGTGTCTCTCTCTAGCTTTTGCTGTTTTGTGAGTTCACATTTTAGGTCATTGAAGAAGACAGTAGTAGAAGTATTATGGTAAGAATTAAGATCTGTTTATTCCTGTATTAATTAAGAGAAGCTAGACTACTACTCGATCTCTCTTTCTCTGTAGTTTGGTATTTGGTACTTGCTTTGTGTGGGGTTTTCTTGTATGTTTGGATGATGATGATGACTATTCTAATATGAAAAGAATTTATTATCCTTGACAACCTTTGCAAATATATATATTCACTGTCCAATGTTTGTATTAGATCGGTCTTTAATAACTATATTGTTTATAGTCAGTATATGTTTGGAAATCGATCAATAATCTTGGTAGACCAAGCAATTTACTAGGTCTTACTATCTTCTGTGTTTTTTTTTTTTTTTTGGGTGCCTTTGTTTTAAATGAGTCAACGTAAAAAGATGGATCTAAAAGGGTTGTGGTTTAATTTTGAATTTTGCATTTTAGATCAATATTAATGATATCTGTTCATGAATGCAAACAAGACAATTTTATGTAAGGTCTGTTCGACTCTTTCTTTATGCAGAGAAGCTCTCTCTCGATCTGTGTGTTGGTAGCTAGCTAGTACTTGATTGCTTTGTGTGGTTGTCTTGTTTGTTTGGATCATGTGTTGTCTTGGTGTAAATTAAGTGGATCTACACCAAAAGAATATATATATCCTTAATTGTGTTATCAAATCATGCACTGATGGAGCAAGTGTTAATTTCTGCTTTGTCTTTTAAATTAATTAATTGTTGCAAGGTTTTTTACTGGTTCCTTCAAGCAGATCGATCAACGAGATCTCACATGAATTTAGGTATGTTAGTGGGTTAGGGTTTGCTTTAAAATTTGTTTGCTCTTGGCTGTAAACTCTTTAATTTTTTTTTTTTTTTTTCTTGGAATATGTAAACGTACTCTTTAATTTTCTTCTTTCTGTCTTTGTAGATCTTATAGATTTATGCGTTCAGTTAATCCTCTATAGATTCAAATGAAAAATAAGTTTAAATCATCTACGAGTTTAAATATGCGGATGACAATTATATGAATTTCATCTGAGCTTACTTATGAAGATGACTATATGCCTAGCTACTTAACAAAGTAACCAAGAAAATCCCTCCCTCAACCTCTCTCTCTCTCTCACACACACACAAATATATACACACATATC